ACCATTTTGCCCACCCCTGGTCTTGAACCATGCACTCAGGGCTTCTCTGAGCTGTCTTCTTGACCTAAATACAAGTCTCCACTGCACCTAAGCAAGAATGAGCAGGAGGGGCTTATTCTGTTGACAGTGAGCACAGGGATGGCAGGCTCTCTCTGTGCCCAGCTGCTGCCTTTGTGATCTGCAGAGGGTAAATGAGCTGGAGCCCTTCGTGTAATAAGAAAGGAGGCAGTTGGCAGGATATTCCTTGTGAGAGATACTCAGCTTTGGAATTCAGTCTTGCATACTTCTGGTTCTGAAGGAGCCCAAATCTGTTGACTTTCAGACACAACGAAAAAGCCATCTCTTTGCCAAGGTTTTGTGGAAGGATGAGTATGCAGGAGGTTGGTACTGGGGGGCTTGAGTATTTTGTGTCTGTGGGAGGGATTAATTTCTGTTTTCAGTTGGCTGTTTTCTATAGTTTTGGCTGGTTGCTAGTCTTAGTTATTTGCATGAGTCTATTCACACCTGCTAGAGATATTAGGCAGTTTTTTTAATGTGCCAAGTAATTCAAAATAGATTTAGGAATGTAAAGGTTAAGGACAGCAAGGCACCTCGTAATTCACTGAATTTACTACTCTGCTATCACAGGCAAGCAGGTCATGTAAACTTTTCCATAAACAGATCAAACTTCCCTTCACAACTTCTTTGGCTGTTTTAGAACCTCACAGCTTTGAGAGATAGAAACCTTCTTCTAATTTCCACCTAAATGTATTCACGTTCTACTCTTCTCTTGTTAGTGTCCTTCATTTCTTCTCTTGCTGGTGTGCTTTATTTCAAACAGCTCTTTTCCCTCTCTGGTATTCACCATTTCCTCTTGTATATTTATAATTTTCAGTCATATCCTCTCTCCATCTTTATTTTGCCAGGCTTGACAAGTCAAACCCTTTTAGTCTCTTCTTTTCCTACATGCCTTTCATTACCCTGATCACCCTGGTAGCCCTGCCTTCATTTAATCCAGTTTGAGCTCATCTTCCTTGAATATGGGTGACCAGATTTGTACACTGTATTCCAGGTAAGGGCAAAGTGTTAAATCTCACCTGCTACTTTATTACTTGCTTGCCCAGTTTTGATAAATCTTTCTACAACTCATCACCATCAATTCTGGATTGAAATAATTTTGTATCATCTGTCAATTTTGCAACTTCGCTATTCATTTCCTTTTCTAGATCATCTGTGAATATGTTCAACAGAACAGGCTCCAGCACAGATCCATAGGAGACACTCCTCTGTTTACCTTCCCCTAGTGGGAAAAGTGATTGTTTTAGTTCTACCCTTTGTTTCTTATTTTTAACCAATTTTTGATTTGTAAGAGGACCTTCCCTCTGAGCCCATGATAGCTTAGTTTCTTTAAGAGCTGAAGGTAAAGGATCTTGCCAAAACCAGAAATCAAACAGAAAACTACCAAAAAAAGTCTAGCACAGTTAGATTTTGCAAAAGAAATTAGAAAAAAATATTAAAAGATTCTTTAGTTGTACAAAAATAAAGAGAACAGGGAAAGAAGTGGGGGTACTATATGGCAAAAGTAGGTGGAAATTCAAGGTAATTTAGATATGCCTGAGATTTCAGTAAGTTTGATTGGCCAAGTGCAAGACAGTTAATGGGAATGATGGTATGGAAAAGAAAATGAGCATTAGCAAATGCATGATGAACAGGTCCAGGGAGGTGATGCTTCCCCTCTATGCAGCACTGGTCAGGCCACAGTTGGAGTACTGCGTCCAGTTTTGGGTGCCGCACTTCAAGAGGGATGTGGAGAATCTTGAGAGGGTTCAGAGAAGGGCCACTCATATGGGCAGAGGCCTGCAGGCAAGGCCCTACAAGGAGAGACTGAGGGACCTAGATCTCCTCAGCCTTCCCAAGAGAAGGCTGAGAGGTGAACTTGTGGCTGCCTATAAATTCATCAGGGGAGGGCAGCAGGGAATATGAGATGCTTTATTTACTAGGGCACCCCCTGGAGTAACTAGGAACAATAGCCACAAATTGACAGAGAGCAGATTTAGGTTGGACTTTAAAAAGAACTTCTTCACAGTGAAGGTTGCCAAAATCTGGGATGGGCTTCCAAGGGAGGTGGTGCTCTCCCCTACCTTGGGGGTCTTCAAGAGGAGACTGGACAAGAACCGAGTTGGGGTCATCTGACCCCAGCGCTCTTTCCTGCCCAGGGCAGAAGGTCAGACTTGATGACCTACTGAAATCCCTTCCAACCCTAACATCTATGAATCTAACATCTATGAATATCCAAGGTGGAAGCAAGGCTCAAATTGTTCAGTGCACTGAAGTTGGTGGTACTGGATAATTTCTAGAATAGAATTCCGGAATATCTGGCATATAAAATTTCCACTCAGGAATGAGATCTTGGAGTCATTGTGGATTGTTCTCTAAAATTTTGCAATAGCAAGAATGGTTAATAAATCTAACAAGTCAGAGTGTTATTTAATGATTATCTGACCCTGACACCCTTTAAGAAGGGGGAAAAATGATCCAGGCAACTACACTCTTGCTAGTTTGACCTCAGTATTACACAAGGCTTTAGAATACATTTTCAAGGCAAGAGTCATTGAAGACATGAAGAGGAAGACAATGAAATAATATGCTCAGGCTGATTTGATATGGTGCTAGATAAGAAATTATTAGTTAAAATAGGGAAGATGAGGATTAGTACTAGAATTGTAAGCTGGGTAAGGAACTGATAGGAGGACAGGAATTAACTGTATTGAAAGGGGAAGTACTGACCTGGGTGGAGATTAGGAGTAAAGTTTCCTCAAGGGGCTGATTTTATTTTATTTATTATTTGTGAGAAAAGGAGGTCAATCGGGGACAAATATTTGAAGATCTGTCATAAAAAAGAGGAAGAAGAAATGTTCTCCCTTGCTGCAGAGGGCAGGACACAAAGCCATGGGTTTAAATTGCAGCAAAACAGATTTAGATTAAATCTCAGAAAAAATATCCTTACTATACAATGGAGCCATCTGCTTGGGGAAGCTGAGGAATCTCTTTCACTGGAGTCTAGGCATCTGTCTGGGATGGTTTGGGAATAGCATATCCTGCAGGTTTTGGATTAGATGACTCGTGAAGTCCCTTCTGACCTTGTGATTCTATGATTTAATATTTTCATTAATGATCTTAGCATAAAAAGTCTGAGCTTGTCAATGAAATTTGCTGTTGACACAAGGTTTGGAGGCATCATCACTACAGAGGAGACCTGTAATATCAAAGAGGCAAAAATGGAGGATATTGAGATAAAATTAATAGAAATGGGATTAAATTTAATAGCTCAAAGTGCAAAGTCATGTACTTAGGTACTAAAAGCAAGAATTCCTGCTATAAGCTGAGAGTTCATTAGTTGGAAACAACCCAGGAGGAGAATAACCTGCATGTGCTAGTTGACTGTTGGATGACTGTAACTGCACCTCCCCGCCTTAGTATAATGCAGCTCTGGGGAAAGGCAGGCACATGTGATCCTAGGACGTGTGAGGCAAAGTATTTGCAGCAGAGACAGGCAAGTATTATTGCCACTGTACAAGGTCTTTGGGTTGAGCACAGAACATGCCTAATGTTCTTAGCATTGGAAATAAGTCTGTTTAGATTGATAGCAGTAAAAGAAAAGGGAGCACAGAATAAATAAAGCAGGCTGAAAAGGTGCTGCTTTTTGAGGCATCTGCAATTATTGCTGACATCAACATGTTTGGAAAGTAGTGGGAGACCACATCAGCTGACTTATATTCAGAGATAGACTGGATAAAGCACTAAAGATGTACAGTAGAGAATCCTGGATGAGCAGCAGATGGATGTTTTTACCTAATGTGTCTTTTAGTTTCTTGTTTGTATGATTCTGACATCCTAGATTGATCAAAATTGTCATATCAAAACATATAATTGAGTTATCTACTTTAGTATCCTAACCTGGCCTGTAATTATATCTGATGCATCTGAGAAATGCCCAAAACTTGCAATATTGTACTTGGCTAATTTTATAATGCTAGGGTAAAAGAGGAAAGTACTTATCTAGTTCTTAACTAGATGATCAGTTCACATCATAAAATATGATATTTTATCCTTGTAAATTTCTAATTCAGTTAGTATAACTACAACCCTTCAGTCATGTAAATACCTCTGCTAAAAGATAAATTTAGTTATATATTCAGACTGCAACTAGCTGCCACAGTGCTTCCTTTTGTAGCAATTTGTATTAATGACCATCTTGTCACAGATAAATAATGGTCTTCAGTCACTGATAATACTAACAACCTTACCAGAGAGTTGTGAAGAATTTTTTTTGTTTAAGTTCCATGTAGATGGTACCATTCTCCAGTTAACTGAAATGTGCTAGCAGAAACATAATCAGCCTCTAATTGAGGAGGTAATGAAGGAAGACGAGGCACCAGGAACTAGTTTCTGACTCTTTACTATAAACTTCCTTTGTCTTTCTAAGAAGAGTGAAGCTCTGAAGGCCTGTCTAGCCATCTTAAATATTTTCTAGGCCAGTATATATTTAATAAAGAATATAGTTTTCTTACTTTGATTTATTTTGACTTTCCCATCCATCTAATCTGTTTTAGTAAGTGTTTTGGTATAGAAGAGGCAGCTTGTTTACAAGACATTTCTTGATCAAGATTTGTAATTGCTACAAAATGATACTTATTTGTCAGGATACTTTGCTTAGGAACTAGAATCTAGACATAAGCTTAACTTCTGAGACATGACCCAGGAATTCACATCACCTGTATAAATCTAGGTATGAATGCATGTTGGCAATCAGAATCCAGATGAAAAAAAATACCTTGACCTCTTAATGTTCCTTTAGTGTTGCAGATGACTCACCTTTAAGTGAGTGACGTACTTCGATAGCAGGACTATGCAAGGCCAGTGGTAATTACAGTGCCTTTTTAATATCGTAATTGGGTGTGCAGTGCAAATACTGAGACCATTTATTGCTTTTTTGTTTGTTTACATTACTACATTACCAGGGTCCTTTCACCTTATTCACTTGATGTTTGATGACTACGTATTGTACCTGTTAGAATCACTTCATTGTCAGGAGAGAGCGAATGAGCTAATGAGGGCAATGAAAGGAGAAGGAAGCACAGGTGAGTATTTTCTTTGCAATTCCTTGCATACCTATGATAATTTTAGTCTATAAGATTCACCCGTTGCTACACATGGGCATTTCATTATCCCCATTTCACCCCAGCAAAGTCTATCCAGAAAGAGAACATTCCTTTACAGCGATGTCATTATTTGAAGTCAGTCAGTTAGGAGTCTGGAGTCTCTGGCTTGTAAGTGCCCTGAAGCTAACTCTGATCTAGTCTTACAGTTTGCTCCTGGTCCTACTGAGTCTACTTATGAAAGTCTGACAATTTAATTCCTAAACACACCTTTCAGATTTGAGAAAAGGGTTTTTTTATTGATGGTTTATACCAGCTAATGTGCAAAAGCCCAATTGCACTTAGATGACCCTGGTCCTTATTCCTTTCTTCCTTGTACTGATTTAATTGATTTCAGTGGACTTATTCTTGATTCATGCTAATGCAAATGAGAGGGGAATGAGTGAAAAGTTAGATGAATGCCATCATTTTTGACAAATGGATGTTCAAGTCCCAAAGTGAAATCTATGGTCTCAGTAGAAATAACGTGATTCTCAGTCCTGCTGCACTCAGTCATTCTGTACTGACTCAGTAGTACAAAGAGAGCAGCCACTGCTTGTAACCTCCATCTTTAGGATGCATCTTGTGACAGGGAGGTTCCAAGAAGCATACAGTCAACAGAGGGGACTTCCATCCGCTATCGCCTCTCCCTCCTTGCAGCTGCCATTAATTTTAATGGGAGTTGCATGGTCACCTCCCCTAAACATCTTTGAAAACTCAGTCCTCCATTTTAGAAGAGACTTAGTTTGTTGCTCCTGAGGTTTAGGAGAGTTAAGATGGTCCATTAATTAAGGCAGTAGCCTGGGATGCGAGAGACCTGGGCTCAATTCTTTATTCTGCCAGTGGCCTAAGGCAGGGTGAACAAGGCAACCACCTTGGCTGCTGACATGGTGCATTGTGGGGGAGAAAAAACATGACTGCTGCTGGCAGCCACAGACGCTTGTGTAACCTTGAGGAGGTCACTTAGCTTTCTTGTGCTTCAGTTCCCCTTTTGTTGTATAAGATAATGCCATGTCCTTACTTCCCTATCTTCCCTATACTTCCTATACTTCCCTATCCTTACTGAAGATACATTAAATGTTACTAGAGGTGTAACTAGAGGAGCATTTAATTTATGCTATATATCCTGAAATGCAGTTGAATTTTGCCTCTGAAATATATATTTCTCATGTATATGATCTCTTGTATGAGGGTCCATGAAGTATATTTAACAGCATCTTTTATGACTTGTCTTCTCATCTGCAGCAGACATACGAGAAGAAATAATACTGACGGAACCAGCTCCTCCAACTCCCTCCCCAGTGCCATTCTCCCCAGCTAAATCTGTCACCTCAGTGGAAGTGCCCTCTGCACCCTCACCTGTTAGCAATCAGTCCCCAGAGTATGCTGGCATAGCAACTACTACAGGTAGGTAGGCTAAACAAACCTGAATGCATGGTCTTTGATATACTTTCCCCCCACCCCAAACAATTGTTATTTAAGAGCAAAGATTGTGAGCCCTCTGCTGAGAAACTGACCCAACATCTGAAGAAAATGCTCCCAAATGGATTCAGTGCATGTTCAGTATCAACAATATACAGAGATCTTTCCTTTCCATCTTTTGAAACGTGGCAGGCAAGTAGTACAGCAGAAAAAAATCTTAATGGATTCCTGTGCATTGTTGCCCAAAGTTCTGAAAGTTAGAGATATAGATTCTGTCCAGATGTTTATCGTCTTTAGAAGTGCAGGTCCCCAACTTTATTCCAGATTAGGGGTACACCAATAGAGATTTTTTGGGCTGATACCAGTGGCTGACTTTAATGAGCCATAGTGGCTGATACCAGTCCGATTCTGATATGCGGCCCTGCAGCATGGAGAGCTGTGTCTGGCTGGTAAGTATGTTGTGAGGGAAGGGGTGGAGGGAGGGAAGGGGCATGGGGGGACAGATCAAGGCCCCCATGCTGTGGAAGGGTGTGGGGCTGGGGCAGCGGCAGATACCGCCCAGCCAGGGCAAAGCAGGGCGTGGAACAGAGCCGCAGCTCATACAGGGGGTGCAGGGAGGAGGGGGTGGCTCCTGCTGCTGCGCGTACCAGGGAGAGCATGCGTGGGGGGGGTATGCCCCCCAGATATACATGCAGGGCAGGGTGGGCTGCCACTGAGGGCTGGGGCTGGGCCTGCACTTGAGGCAGGTGGTAGCAGCACTGGGAGGTGGGCTTGGGGGGTCTATGGTGAATCTTGGGGTGGCTGCAGCCCGCGCAACCTCCCTATCATCACTGCCACTGCCTGCCTGGCTCTTCTTGGCAGGGAGCTGGGCCGGGCTGCACTCGGGGCAGGTGGTGGCAGCACTGGGAGGAGGGTTTGTGGGGGCTATGGTGAATTTTGGGGTGGCTGCAGCCCCCCCCAGCCCCCCTATCATCACTGCCACTGCCTGCCCTGACCACAGCCTGGCCCAGCCCCACACTGGGAAGAACCCATCACAGTCCCAGCCCCAGCTCACAGTGGGGCATGGGACAGAGCTGTGAATGGCTTGGCCAGAGAGTTTGGGGAGTGGGTGGCAGCTCCCACTGCTGCACCCTCCCTGGGAAGGCATGGGGGGAGTGTACCCCTGGATCTGCGCACTGGGCGAGGGCGGGCTGCCACTGTGGGCTGGGGCCAGGGCAGTGCTGGGCTCTTCCCAGTGGAGGGATTGGACTGGGGCTGCGCTTGGGGCAGGCAGTGGCAGCACTGGGAGGGGTGGCTATGGTGAATTTTGGGGTGGTTATAGCCCCCACAATAGTCCCACTCCCAGCACCACTGCCACGTGCCTTGAGTGCAGCCCGGCCCAGCCCCCTGCCGGGAAGAACCCAACGCTGCCCTGGCCCCAGCCCACAGTGGCAGCCTGCCCTCGCCCTGTGCACAGATCTGTGGGCACACACCCCCCATGCCCTCCCAGGGTGCATGCAGCAATGGGTGCCCGATCTCCCCCACACCGCCCCCGCATCCAGTGCTCCACCCCAGCTGGGCAGCACCTGCCCCTACCCCACTCCCTCTCTCACCACAGGGTCCTCAATCTGCCCCCCTGATGCTCCTTCCCTCCCCACATCCCCCTTTCCCT